GAGAACCCTGAATAATACAAGTCCTTTATTGCATGTGATTTGTGAATATGTTTTCCCATTCCATATTTCCTAAGATGTGAAAAAATCAGTATTAGAGTTCTTTCTTTACTTTTTAATCTCTACATCTGCCAATTCACACACACACACACACACACACACACCATCCATGTCATTCCCCTTCAAATGGAGCTATTTGCCTCACAGAAGGGAAGGCCCAGAAGACACCAGCAAGAACTAAACAATTCAATCTCCAAATTCAGATCCTTTATGCCAAAGCAATTGAGAAAGAACAGGTCTTTGAATTCCCTCCAGCTTGGCTTTGAATGGCAAGAGCCAGGCCTAAAGGAAGGGAAGGAAAAGTTTAATTCTACAACACATTTCACAAGAATTAATAATGTTCCTGTCTGCTCCATCAGTTTCTGTCCAAAAGACTCTAGGACTGTTTATAGTGGTAAAGAGAGAGCTTTTTACCAGGGAAAGAGGACTTTCCCTGCATTACTCAACTGGAGAGAGGCACAAGGATCTGGGAAGATGCCGCCATGAAAACATATCGCCAAGCAACAATGATATACCTCATCATACCTTGCAGCAGGAAGCAGGGGCTGGGAGGACCCTGTTACATTAACCTCCTTCTCCAGCCATGTTCCCTGGACTATATAATCTGCTATTTGCTCTCTACCATATCATCAAGTAATGGTGGACTGAAAACATTTCATCCTTGCCTTTTTTTTCTACTTTTACTTTATCTTTTCAGGAAGTCCAAAGAATATTATTTGTCTAAGACCTTGTCAGGGCCATGATAGTCCAAGTATCCAATACAAATAATATTAATAATAGTAATAAAAAATTTTTAAAATACCCACACAAATAAATGTATCATCTAAGGAAACAAACCAAAACAACCCATTATTTAGGTTCAGATGTGCACAAGATCCAACCATACGAAACTGCAGACCCCAAAGTAAAGAGCTTTAAAAGTGTAGGAAAGAGGTTTTTTTTTTTTTTAATTCTAAGACAACCAAATCCAATTTTTTAATGAGTGAATTGGACATGAAACAGATTTCAATAAAAGCAAAGGAGTGGTTTTGATGTGCTTTATTTTCCATTTAAAAATCAAGAGATTTAAATATAGTACCCATACCCCACTTCTACTCGCATAAAGGGAAATTATGCTATGCCAAGTGGTGAAAAGTGAAATTGTTGGCTTGATTTGCTCTTCAATCTGGCATTTTTCATGAAGTACAGTTTTCCTTGAGTTATCTAAACTTTTTCACCCTCATTGGTGAAAGCATAATTCCTACCCTAAGTAACTTCAAGCACTCTTTGTGATATGGCTTTGAATCGGGTTAATCATTGATCATGTTTTCTATAAGGAAATGTTTTTATTTGTAAATTTCTTTAAAGGTATCACTGCAGTCCTGATAACTGAGTGAACATTAGACACTGGGCTTATTCTCCACTGTGCTTGGATAGGTAAGCACTTAAGGGAACTGTTTCTCAGTTGGAGATGAGCGAGGAATGGTCCCATCCATTTGAAAAATGTCATTCATCAAGAAGACTAATCATGTGTAAATAAAGGAGAAGGAAAGTGTGTTATGTTGTTAGACTAATAAAGAAGAGATCACATCCTATCTTATAATTTTGCAGTTCTTTTCATTTACACACATGTGTTTCTTAGATTCTCAGAACAGATTCTAACACTTGACTAATACAATTATATATATTTTTGCTATAATATATGGTCTAGAATAGAGGTCAATGAAATCAGTTTATAAAGTCAGAGCTTGGTATTCCCCACATGCTCCTAAAAATCCTCTTCTAATTTATTTTACAAACAACAAAATGGCTTATCTAGCAAACCATGTATTTGGAGTACCTAAAACTATCCGGTATGTATTAAGGCTCAGTTTGGGTCACGTATGGGATGACAAAAGTGCATTATGGTGATAATGAACGTGAAAAATTAGAAAGCCGCATAAATTATTTCAACCTGTCTTGCAAAATACAACTTAAGAAAATGCTGGGATTATTTTGTTTTATCCAGACAGGCCTTTTGCCAAGAACCTATGCCTACACACAACTCCTCAAAGGGCCTAGAGAGAATGTTTGGAGGTCTCTTTAAAAATGCAAGAGAGTCAAAACGCAGAGGAAATTTTTCTACTATGTGATATAAAAGGAAAGAAGAAAGGGGCACTAAGTTGCTATACTTGGAGCAAGGGTATTATTTTCTGATTTAGAAGCTCACAGGGAAGAGCAAACAAGTGGGTACGTCTGTGCTAGAAATCACAAAGGGGATGGCGGCACCAGAAATGACTCACACGGGGCTTCTCTTTCACCTGCAGAAGAGGATGCCCCAACTATCCCACGGTGTCCTCAAGGACCTCCTGAGCCACACCATCAGTGACACTGTTCTCATTCCTCTACCAGTGACACTTGATAGCTCTCTCCATCCCTAACTCCCCTGGCCCAAGTCTACAACATTCCTTCTGTGCGTTAAGGACAGGAAAGCTTCCCCCACTTTGGGACCCATGTCTGCCCTCCCCTCTGCCCGGCAAGCATGGTATCTCGTATCTACACTTAGACATCAGCGTGAATATCACCTCCTCATAGAGGTCCCCCATTGGTGACCTGGTCCAGAGTGGCTTCATCCCTCAAGGCTATTTTCCCTCCTTACTGCTCATCTGTAACCTCTGCTGGAACTTCCGCTAAGGCAGAACAGCCCTGAGTCCCCCGACTAGAACAGGAATTGAAACAATTCCCGGCATGTGTCAGGGCTCCATAAATATTTGTCCAAACAAACAAGGCTGTAACTTCTTTGTTGAAAGCTATAATAATATTGCTTTCCTTTCAAGATAATCTGGGCTTCTTTCATCTTGAGGATATTTGCAGCAAAAAGACAGCTCACTTATTATGCAAGCACATTTCCCTTTAATGTTATGTGACACTGGTATTGCTTTCGTTCTTCCAAATTTGCTGCACTCCAACTGATACATCATTTAACCTAATTTCTCACTGCGCCTGTTGATTCAACTTGAGTCGAAGACTTTTCACGCATTGGGTAGTCTATTTATAGGTCTACCTCGCATTTTGTCTGTTGACTTCATTTCCATGCCCTCAAGACAAATATGTGGGTACTTCATCACACATTTGCCTTCCAAGGCAGTGACGGTGTGGGCTGTGCTACGGCTCACGCCATCCATCCCAAGGTAAATTAAGGCATCTTTTGATTAGGAAAATCTGACATAACATACAAACCCATTTCTCTGGTCAGAATTATTATAGAGCCAAAGCTCTTGTTTTGCAGAAAATGCAGATCCTTCCACAGATGTGAAAAAGAAACAACATGATTGAAAGATTTTTTTTTTTTTTTTGGTAGGGCTTGATTGGGTCTAGTAAATGTATACTTTTAGTTTCCTTGGTTTTAAAAGAAAAGGTCATCAGATATTCAGTGTAATCAGCGAGGAAAGCAAAACCAAAAGAACTGGGAAAAACAATCTTACACCCCAAGAGTTTGCAGGTACAGGGGTCGGGGCATTCAGAGAGAAATCCAGCCAGTATTTTTTTCTTGTGAATTCTTTATACCTGAACCTAGGACTCAAATGTGCTTTACTATGCATTCAATAGTTGACAAGGGAGACCAATGAATCATAGGAAAGCCCTCTTCCATAGGCATGAAATGAAGAATGTGTATATAGTCACTTCTCGGGTCCTAGCGATCACTGAATGACCAGGAGGGTGAGGAGCCAGAGAGAAAAACATTTCACTCCTGTTAACGCACCCCTCCAACAATTATTCAGCCTCTAGAGACTCAACCCCCCTGATGCACCATCTGTTCCTGGCTCCACTCCTCCCCGAGTGCCTCCCGCTCCTCGCTCCGCTGATCTCCCATGGTCAGCCTCCACCATCCTGCCTGCACCTGCTGCACAGCTCCCCATTCTCTCCCTCCACCACTCCTGGTTTCCTGGCTAAACAACCATCCATGTGTCTATGAGGAATAGGGACCCCAATTTCCAGAAGGGATGATGAGCAAATGCTAATGGCCTCATCACACTGTCCCACCTCCCCCGGGAAGAAGCCCACCATATTCTTCTCCACTACCTCAGCGCCACACTGAAAACTCTTACCACCTTTTGCTCCAGCAGAGTCCAGCTTGAGCTCTGTCCCCGAGTCTTAAATGAACTCGTCCTTGCCTGTTTAATTTAGGCTTGGCTGGTTAACATCCAGTGGCACAGGAGCATACCTGGCCATCACACTGTTTAGTTCAAACATACCTCCGTTTTCTCCTGCCTTCTCCTCTGCCCTTGAACCTCTCATACCTCTGCCCTTGAACCTCTCATACCTCTGCCCTCTCCTCATTTTCAGAATGGCCTTGCATTCTGGATCACAGAGGAAACAGGATACCACAGCAACTTTCCTCCAGCTCTTACTACACCCCCCTCACCCCACCGACCCACACTGCACCCCAGTACCCTTCCTTCCCGGTCTCTGGAGGCACCAGAGACCATATCCTTTTGATTTCACCCAAGACTCCACCTGGACTCTGCAGGTTCAGAGAATAAGTTAACAGTGACCTTTCTACATGCAGGCATACAACCAAGGTGTATCCAATACACTCAGAGGCTACTACAATAGTATCTAACCACTAAGCCCTGATGTAAATTGGCTCATCCAAAGCTTTAGCATTCTGGGTAAATAATACAATCCTGGTTTACACAGACTGTAGTCAGAGAAATACTCTAGCTCCTATTCTTGGAATTCAAAGTCACATTCTATTTGCCACAAGGAGGTTTCCGGGTTCCCTCCCTCTGTCGCTCAGTTGATTTGCACATTTCTAACTGTGGATAAATGACAGATGTGCTGAGCTGCTTTTTATTTGAAGCCAAGTAGAGAGCTCATCCTGGAGCATAAAAATATTTACAAGGTTTCTGTAGTACATGACTCGTCATCACACTGCTGTGCTGTGTGCTTTCTCTAAAAGTTCAAGGACAAAAATCAGTTACCTCTTCAAGGACATCGGCAAGCTTACTGAGGATTTCTTCAGGAAGGCTCTGGAATGTTGGGACACTGAAAAACAAAAGAGATGATGCTGAAGCAACTTTCTTTCACAAACAAGGCAGGAACGTGCAAATGCATTTCAGGACAAAGAACCTGCAGATAAAGATCAAAGCAGGAACTTAAGCATGACTTGATGACCAACAAGGAAAACGAATGTTGTACTAGAAAGAATTTGGAGTCTGAACAGAACTGAGCTCAAATCCCACTGATAATTACCTGTGGGACCATGGATGCCTCAGTGATAATGGGGAGAAAACCACTTTTTTCCTTATCAGTCTGTGTCACCAGATCTACCACTGTTCCTTCTGCCTCTCTGGGTTCCTCTAGACACTCACGAACAAGCATGCGCACTCAAGCACACAGGCAAAAAGTCCTTCTACAGGCCAACTCCTGTTCATGCTTTAGGACACAGCTCCATCAATGATATGCTCAGACCTTCAAGCATTCATCCAACAACCTTGGAAGCTTCCTCTCTCCCCAACCCCCTCCAGCTAGGTCAGGTTCTCCCACCATGAGCTCCTGTATCCCTTGCTAATACAGTCATTAGATACTTAATCAGGTATTTGTTCCTGGGTGTTCTCCCTGCTAGGGTTTAAACTCCACAAAAAGAAAGATTTATCAGTCTTGTTCAACCCCTGCGTTTTCCATTATTTACAAATAACTCAATAGAAGATGTTGAGTAAAGTTATGAAAGCATAGATGTGTGAATGCTTCCTGTGACAATTAGAAAGATCAGATCAGACAGGGTGGAGAAAAAAGCCAGACTCGGTAGACAGGAAAATTATTAATTCTTCTTTCCTCCTCTTATTTTCCCCCCACTGACCAGCAAATGAAAATACTGAGTGATGTTAAATGCATAAACCCATGAGTTATTTTATATTTGAAATAGTAATAAACTTAAAAGAAGTTAAAAAAAAAACACCTCATCAACACATAATTTGTGAGCGCCACTGGAAAATCTAACTGGGATATAGACTAAATTCACATTTAATCCCATCTTGGTGCCTGAATGGCTAGAGGATGCTAAATGAACACATACGTTTACATATCTGATTTTTGACTTAGCAAATTACTCCAGCTTGATTAGTACGAACCAATGCAAGAAGCCACAGCATACTACTTGGATGTAAGCATGGAAGTTTTACTGTTAATTTGTCACTCTGATTCCTATTACTTAGTGTAAAGCCTATTGATAAAATCCCAGGGTTTTATGAAGAGGTAGAACAATTCACCCAGGACCATCTGTTCCACCAGATTTACTGCTGCAGTCTTGGCCACGTGGGTTTTAATTTCCAGAAGGCAGTCTATTTCAGCAGCTGGACGGAACTTATCTCAGAAAGAGAGGAAGACAGAGGAAGCTGTTGCCCGAAGTGATGCAGGTTGAAAAATCTAGCTCTTCGTTGTTCTTTTAATGAGCTGTATTTCCGAGTCTCCTAAGATCCAAGAACAATTAGAATGCCCCCCTCCCAGTGGGTATTTGCAGGAAACACAAACTATAACTGAGTTTTTCTCCTTTCATTGTAATTAGCCCCCTTCTTTAGACAGGGGCTCCACTATTTATTTCAACAATGGCTATGTCTATGCCAAGCCATAAATATCAATACTTCAATGTTCCTGAGAGTTCTTATCCGTGAAAAAAATAAGTAAATATTTGCTTGACTATGTAATACACTAAATGGAAACGGAAACATTAAGTTTTAGGAGGGCACTTTAAATTACCTTCCATAAGTTCATTTTTTCCCCTAGCTTTGAGGTATAACAAAATTAGAAATTGAAAGTGTACATCATCATGATAGGATACACATTGTAAAGAGCGCTTCCCATCTAGTTCATTAACACAATGGTCACCTCACAAGTTTTTTGGGGTTTTTTGGTGGAAAACATTCCAGTTGTCTTCCTTTAGCATAATTCACAGTGGGATCGAATCGATCATCCTCATGGAATTACACATGAGATACAGACTTTATTCATCCTAAACCACAGCTGAAAATTTGTATTCTTCTACTAGCCTTTTCCTGTATCCTCGACCCTCCAGCGCCCTGCAACCACTTTTCTACTGGATCTTTCTCTGAGCTTGACTTTTTTTTTTTCTTTTTTTTAAAGATTTTATTTGACAGAGAGAGATCACAAGTAGGCAGAGAGGCAGGCAGAGAGAGAGAGAGAGAGGAGGAAGCAGGATCCCTGCAGAGCAGAGAGCCTGATGCAGGACTCGATCCCAGATCCCTGAGATCATGACCTGAGCTGAAGGCAGAGGCTTTAACACACTGAGCCGCCCAGGCGCCCCTGAGCTTCACTTTTATTTAGGTTCCACATTTACATGATACAATGTATCTGTCTTTCTCAGTCTGGCCTGCTAGACTTAGCATAATGCCTTCAAGGTCCATCCCCTCTGCAAAGACAAACTGCAAGATTTCCTTCTTTCTCATGCTTGAATAATGTTCCACTGTATACTTATCATGATCTCCTACTTAAATGTCTCACAGCCTTCAGCAGCACTTGTTACTAACAAAAATTAAGGGTGATTTTTAAGAAGAAACACTGTAAAAAACTATCCATAACAGCTGGAGAACTTTTAGATTAAACAAAATAGAAAGCAATTAAAAAAATAAATAGCTCCACTTTAGTAAATTGCTCTGAAAACACTTCTGTAGCCATCTTTAAAATCTTAAGATATTTATTACTGCAAACACTCCATAAAGTCTCTCATATAATTTGCTCTCTAAGAATTATTGGTTACCAGTAGCTTGAACACCAAGAACTGAGAATACTCATAATTTAGAATTCTACCCATGAAATGTGGTTAAATTTCTCCCAAATACATCAAAAGATTCCACTGATTTGGACATATAATTCAAGATGAAGTAGTTTATGATTTAGAAAACTTAAGGCAAAATAATTATCAGGACAAACTTTGAGAACATGTTTCAATAGTAGAGGAGGATATTTAAATTATGTAAAAATAATTATAATTATTTGCATGCTAATTACAAGTGATTCTTACATATCTACTAAAACATTTTGCTCCCTAAGGACTTGCAATAGGCCTGAAGTTATAGAACACATTTGAATATAATGTAATAGACAGGATTTAATATGTGTAAAGCTTCACCACTGGCTTTTTAAATTTTTTTTAAGATTCATTTTAGAGAGAGAGAGGGAGGGAGAGGAGGAGGGAGCAGAACAGGCAGAGAGAGAGGAAAAATCTTAAGCAGACTCCCCAGTCAGTGTGGAGCCTGATACATGGCTCAGTCTCACAACCCCAAGATCATGACCTGAGCCAATTCTGAGAGTCCTATACTTAATAGACAGCATGACCCAGGTGCCTCACCACTGGCTTTTCTAACAGATTGAAGTAAGTACTTGGTATTTGCAATGACAATAATTGAAGATGAGATCAGTGCCATTTGCCAGGCACTGGGCTAGGGATATTATAGAGAACATAAAGGTTCATTTCACAACCACCTTCTGAAATAATCCATTTCACAAATTTGACAAATACAACCTTAAGAATTTGCCTGAGATCACAGCACTCGATGTAGGTGAAGAATGAAAAGGACACGGAGCTCGTCACTTACCCACTGAGCTACACAGCTTACAGTAAAAGTATTAGCAAATGCCTCATGCAACTTTTCATGCAACGTTCAAACCAGTTCCATATACTTTTATACAATGATTTGGATATGAATAGTATTAAGAATATGAGATTTATTAACAAATAAATTTTGTTTTTTTAATTTTTTTTGATTTTTTGATTTTTACTATGAAAACAGTTGAACAAATTGCAAGGCTGAAAGAATAGTTCAAGAATCACCTGTATCCCTACTACCCAGATTTGCAACTGTTACCATATTTGTTTCCTCTACCCTCAGTTTGTCTTTTCCTACGTGTATAGTGATAAAAAGGCTTTATAGATATTTTGACGAAATATTTGATAGTTGCAGATATCACCTTACCCCTAATCTTCAGTTATTAAAAATAACACGTTCCTAAATAACTATAATACGTTATAATGCAATCAGAAAATCAACTTCGATTCTGGATACCATCTAGTCTCTGTTTCATATTCAAATATTATTGTTCAAAATGTCTTTCCTGGTTTGATTTTTCTTCTCAAACCAGGATCCAGTAAGATTCTACGCATTGGTTATGGCTGTTACATACTTCTAGTCTCTTATATTAAAAGATCCTTCCACCCTGCCTTCACGGCACTGACTTTTGGAAGACACTGGGACCACGGTCTCATTGGATGTCCCACATTCTGAATTTGCCTTAATGACTTCATTTTTGCTAATCTACTCCTTGAAAGTTACAACAGAGGAGAAAGGAAATCCAAGTACAAAAAATTGTATCTCAGTCATTTGTTGATGATATATAGATAGATAGATAGATAGATAGATAGTATATATATTGCACATGCAATATATACAAAATAACAATCGTATGTAGAAGCAGTTCTTGGAAGGTGATCTGAGAGGCTAGGCCGAGACCTTTTTAAGGGGTTCCTCAAAGTCAAAGCAAATGGTTTAAGTTGTAATTTGCCTTTTTCACCTTAGTTTTCACATATGTACCACAGAATCCCTGAGACTCCATGACATATGGTAATGATGACATCACTTTGATATATATGTGTGGATTTCATATATATATACATTTATAATAAATATATAATATAAATATATAATATATAACACATATTATATATTATATATACTTATGCTTGTAAGCTCTTGTGTTTCCTAGAATTTTTTTTAAGGTAGTGTGTAGGTTTAGGATATGTGTGCTATTTGCAGAAATTAACTCAGTATAGTTTCAGTAACTCTGTGCTGTTACTAGACATTTTTCACACATGTAACCTTATTATCATCCAACATATCGTTGTTTTGAACTCCTGAGTAACTACGCTTCTTCAGGCTTGATACACGCTCCTTGTGTCAAGGTGAAAAAGAAAAAAAAAAAAAAAGAAGAAGAAGAAAACACATGTGGATAACTTGTGTTGCAGTAATTGTTTT